CGGGGGGGGCAGGGAGGGCACGGAGGCGAGCTGGGGGTGCGCTTACTCTGTGCGATGGCCATGACTCCCGAGAGCGGCGTCATGATGAGGTTCTGGGACTGCTGCGGGTTGTGGTGGGACAAGCTGTGGATGTTGGTCAGGGTGCTCACCGGGGGCAGCCCGCCCCCCGAAACGGAGATCTGCCGAGGAGGGAGGCAGGAGAGCAACCGTCAGAGACACACCCGAGGGGCTGCCACCCGCCCCACGCCCTGCCACCCAATATAACCTTAGCAATGCAGTAAACTGAGTGGACTGGGTGCCTGAGGAAACGAGGATGAAGACAGTCTGGGACAAGACTCAGATCACATGCAGTCTGTCTAAATTGAGACTTAGACATCATATTCAGAACAATTTCTGACTGCTGATATACATTTTTTTGAGCATCTCATTTCAGGTTCTCATATATTTAAAACCGCCCCGGGGCTGCGGACCCCGGCTGGGAGGCCTGGGCGTCGTGTTAATAAATAGCGAAGCGGCAGCGGGGAAGGGCACTGCTGGCACCGGCTTCCAGCTCCACCGGAGCACGGAGCTGGGCCACGGCACATCCCCTGCCTCTGCCATTTTGTCCCCCAAGTCCAAGCTCCTGCCCTCAGGGACAGCTGAGGACTCCCAACACTTATTAACTTCTCACCGTCACGGTTGTAGGGGAAAGTGGGAAATATAAACTCAGGAAATAAAGAAAAAGGACAGAAAGCAGACAGAAAGGGCCTCACGGCGATGGTCCCCGCCATCACCCTCGCAGAGGGGCAGGGTGCTGGTGAGACAGGGCGAGCGCGCTCAGCCAGAGCCTGTGTCTGGGATTTCGGGTCGGTGTTTAGGGACCAGACACCCAAAGACACTCAGAGTGTGCCGACAGGACTGGAGCCGGTCCCCAGGACAAACAGCGGGCAAAGTGCCGGATCTCTTTAATTGCTGTGCGTTCTCCTAATCCCTCTAATTAGACCTCTTGCACCGAGCAACCTCGATGCCGGCTCGGAGCCATCCTTTTGCCTCTGCGTGTGACATTTCTGGACACCAGTCCCAGCGCCTTGTTTATTCTGCGCATGTGAGCTGGAGATAGCCCCACTGCAACTGAAACAAATCCATCAATAAATTCCGAAGCCCGGGAGTGACTCATATTTCCTGATCCGGTATTTTCCACTTTCAAAGTTTCTTCAAGGCCAGGTTGCAGCACACTTGGCTGCACAAGGCAAACAGCTCACGGCAAGCGCACGCCACTCGCCCGCAGCTGGGGCTCAGACCTGAAGCCCTGCACCCAGAAGAAATGCTCTGGAGACTGCGGGACTGGAAAAGACCCTCCAGACACTGGACCCTCGGGGGACACCCTTCGGCACTACCACGGCGAAGGGCAACACCGGAGCATGAAGGAGTGAATGACCAAAGCTTTCTGCAGCCTCAGCAACGCTCCTCCCTGAAAAAAATCGATCGCCTTCAGATGCAGCAACTTCCTTGGCAGCTTTTGGTTTCGTGCGGGGTATTAAAGGCACATGTTTGCTTACTAGAAACCACAGCCTACAGCATATTTTCATTAAATCACTAGCAAGCACTAGCTAGCCCTGCTTAAAGATCAGAGATAAGCTGGCAGAGCGGCACGCTGCTGAGGAGCAGAGCGGTCCCAGACGGCGCGGTGCAGCGGGGATAAGTCAGCAGGGCTTTTGCTGCCGCACACCTCTGCCTACTGCATTTCGACAAGCTGCTGCTTCTCTTCATCTGCTGCCTTGCCACGCAGCTTGCTCCCGTGTTGCCTGGTGAGCTCCCCCTGCCCCGTCCGAGGGTCCCTGTGCGCTGGCAAA